CAGCATTTTCGCATCCATCGAAAATGCAGCCACCACAGCCGGGATTCTATCCCGCAACCTGCAGGTCAGCAGCAGAGTACCTTATCGACTAGACCACCACGGCGGGGCGAATGAGTCAACCTCGTCATGCCAACGCGGCCTTGTTTACTCAGTACAAATAGTCTAGCTCACTTATAACGATACCGGTTTTGCCAATACATCGGTTATAACAATAAAAAGCTGCTGCACCATCAACTTTTATGTGTTTTTTTATGCTAGAATAACCCACTTACAGCAATGCCCGCATGCCGCATAAGCATTTATAACAATAAATTCTGGCTGGTAGGTATTCGTGCCTAATGTAATAGAATGCAAAATCAGTGAAAACAGAAAAAAGTTAAGAAATTCAGGCTGCTGAACCCTCCGGCCACAACCGCACATCCCCCAGGTCCCCCTTCTAAAAGTTGCATTATGCTTCACCATATGGCATGTTAACAGCGCAGCAAAGCTGACTTTTGAAACTCGCAATCGCGTAAATGCGGCAGTGGCTTCTGTTAAGGCACATTCGGACATGAACTTTAAAGGGACACTAAAGTCAAATAACGATTTACGTGAGAGTGAAAGCTCAACGTATGAAAATGTCTGAAATGACAGTATTATCAACAGCAGCGCCCTACTTGCCAAGAAATAAAAGTCAATGCACGAGAACGCATGCGCCCCAGTAGGACATTCGCAAAATGATCCCGATGACGTCGGAGTTACAGCCTACAATTAATCACTAGTAACCAATCTAGCTGCACTAAATAAAGAACTTTCTGCGCTTCAAGAGATGCAATAAAATGCTGCTTGTTCGTTTCTGTTTGATACATGGTAAAAAAATACCACCGCACAATACTATGGCGAATGGCAGAGTGGTTCAAGAGTTCAATTTTCCCCTGATTAAACTAGACAGGTCGTACCGTCTAGCGGGGCCCAATAGACCCTTTTCAAAATTCAGCACCACCTATCGAACGAACCCAAAAACACGTTTTTTCTGCCATGTCTTGTTCATCCACGGTGATGCACGCTGCTGATACCAGTACGCGATTATCGCTGCATCTGTGGGTTGTGCTTGGCAGTCAGTAGGACGACCGAGAGGAAGCACAGTGGCCACTTCAGGGAGCGGCGCCACTGCGGCTCTTGCGTGACCTCTTTGGGCGGCGGATGGGCTATTATGACCGGCAGAGCAAGGACATAGTCTCCAAGGGACGCTCATTGCCGTACCGTCCAAATACAGTACACGTCCTGCAGGAACACACACAGTGTCCGTGTGCGCTACAGGGAACGCTCATCGGCGTCGCTGGGACACACAGCCCGCCAGCTCGCACGAGTGAACAAGATATGATGAAAGAGCCATGTTGCCAGACTTAATTTTCTTAAGGGTCTACTGAACTAAACACGCCTGCCATCTCGGAGCCTATGGCAGAAAATTGTTCAATGGCCACTATTGCAGCTGTGGCTCTCACTGCTTTCATTGTATTGCTACTAGTATCAGCAGCCACACAGTAAAGCCGGGCAACATTGTGCATGGCAACAGTGACGCGAGACGTTCTGCTTGAAGCGGTTAATTTGAAGTGCGCTAACCAGATGCGGACCACTAAACCTTAATTTTATTTCAAAATAAGCATTTCCTTGGCACAAAAGCAACACTACGAGGTTTCTGGACTGCTATTGGAACAATCAATGTAGACTGAGTAGTTGCCTTCAGCGTCCCTTTGAATAAAAAGTAGACTCTTGGTTAAAGTTTCAGCATCAGGAACTTCATACGTTGTCACACATTGGCTGTATAGGGCTTGCGGCAGCTCTACTAAAGTGTACAAACTTCTAAACATGTCGGAAAAATCGGCAGCTTCATCATCTTCATCATTGAAGTTGTTTGGCATATCCCACCTCACATTACAGTTTTTTTGCCACAGCCTGCTGTCCACTACTTCGCTTTTTTTTTTTTTCAGAAGCCCATTTATAGCAGTTATCGGTTATAACAATGAAATTTTCGTGGCACTTGAGTATTGTTATCAGTGGGTTTGACTGTATGACAGTGCAGATTGCCCTGTCTTAAGGACCAAGTGATTTCTTTCAAGTTTCCACTTTGATTTCAATGACACAGCGCCTGCTTGAGATAATTTTTAGAGTGTCCACGCCTGTTTTTGTGTCATTTGCCCAAACCAGTTGTAGATATAATTTACTCGCACTATGTATCAGGGCAGAACAGAAGCTTGCCTTCTGCTCTAGCTCCAAGCTGAATGTCCTTGTCTTAGCGCCCTACATTTGCTGCTGAATGCGAGGTCTCAAGTGCTTTTAGCAGTACGAAAAAAAGTACCACATGATTAATATAAAAAATGGCATTTAATGCTTTTACATGAAGACAACAGCTGTAAAAAATCTGTACAATGAATACTTCCTGGATTTATTGTACTCCACTGGAGCTATTATTTGTATGTTTTCGCTTTCTCTTACAAAGGTAGCAGTAGGGTATATTCCCATCCTGAGTCTGCACTACAGTGCACCCATCTCTTTTGTAACCTAAGCACTTGAGACTTAACAATTTAAATTTGCCAAATGTGCAAGGAGCAGACAAAAATTTTGCACCGTTTTTTCTTTTTTTATTATTGCAATAGGTAACTCATGACCCACTACCACGACTGGAAACCATGTTTACACAAGCATGCCATGGTTATTTTTTAGAGACGTTTTTAGAGTGTCCTGTCTCGGTTTCAGTTTGAAAGAGCACCGAGCTAAGCTGGAGCAGTTCCAAGGGCAAGGCTAACACACCTGGCTACATGACCACACAAAATGGTGACTTGGGCACCGCACGCGAGAGGGTGCCGCACTTACAGCCAGCACATGCGAATTCACAGGCACAGCGCAGGAGAAAATCGCAGGTAGCACAAGCGCAAGGCGCATGCCAGCAACCAGCCAACACAAACGTGATGTAGGTTCGTTTACATTGCATTTGTGTTGATGTCGGCATTGCAACAGACTCCACATCTTGGGCAGTTGCGTGGCATGCACATTAAAATTGATTTTAAGCAACTTGTAGACTATTTTCACCCTTTATATCTCGTAGCTCTTGTGTGTGTCTCCACATAAATATGTCTCATTATATAGCCTTCGAAATTTTGTGTCAGTGCTCCTTTAAGCGCATTGCCAGAGCAATGTGGAACACTCAGAAGCAGCAAGTAGAATGTACTGCCAGTAAAAATGGCAAGCTCACACACCATTTAGAGACTCAGGGGTGCAACGGTCGAAATAGAATTTGGAGCAGTTTTTCAAGCAGTAAAATGTTACTTTTGGAGCCCTAAAATCTAATTTGGAGCAGGTTACGGGGAAAAAAATTCATTTTTATCCCGAAAAACTGAATCTGGATCAGTATGAAAATGAAGCATTACATTTAGAAAAAAAAATATGTACAAACCATTGAACATCGGCTAACACATGCAGAGTGAATATGAACACTGCTATTTGAATAAAAGTAGTAGTATGAACCACCCCACTCAACAAACAATGATAAAGTTTACATTAGCATTTGCCACACCTGTCAAATCCTTGGACAGACTCTTAGGACTCGTATCTGCCAAGCTAACGATTTAGAGATTCGGAAGATGCATAAAACTGAGAAGTAGGGGTGGCGAAAAAAAAAAAAAAAACTGGTGCATAGTTTTGTCTTATTTACACATGCATGAGTAACTGAACCAACTGTGCTGCTTTCCGCAAATAGTGCTAACAGTCCCTCCCAAATCTTAAGATGCTTTTCCGCAGACCACTGGTGTACTGCAGCAAACGTAGTTTAAGCAGCGTTCTGCATTGGTTAGAACAAAGCCAAGAAATTTTCGAACCCCTAAACCTCTCCACCCACCTTTTTAGGGGCAAAGCTTCTTAGGCTGTGGGTCGTTCCCTCCTCTGTAGTATAAGTAGTATGTAGCCACCTCTAGATTATGAGTTACTCAATAGATTGCATTGCGTGTATGTGTCCTGGCAAATAATATAATTAGGTGGCGTTAGTGGTTTTCGCAGCAGATCAACGGAGTGAATGATGATGAGTGAGACGAAGCGTCTGTTCGCCTGTCTGTGTGTCCATCTATCAATGCCCGTTCATCTGTTCGCACTTCCGTCTGTCTGTACGGATGCACGAACAGACGCATGGACGGATGTACACACGGACAGTAGGACGCTTTGCCCCACTAATCATCATTCACTCCATGAATGTGCTGCAATTTTTTTTTTTTTACAATGGGCTTAGGTTTCCCCGACAACCTTCCGGCTCACTTGCAAGGCATGTTTGACTAGATAAAGTAGCAACGCACGTGCCCGTCGGCGGCATCATATATATATCGCATGTGTCGTTGCTATGGCAACTAATGTGTTCACCGGCAATGCCGGCATTCGTAGCAAGTCAAGTTTGTGCACGATTACAGCGGCATACGCTTCAAGCTTTAGTTCCTAACATGCCACAGCCACATTTACTGACTAGGAAATTCATATTCTCCAGGAAGTGTTGCTGGCTATGGCAATGCATTTTTGTCTTGAAGTTCGTCCCGCCGCAAGATATCCGCTGCCATCAGTGCACCGATAAGGCGCCCGGCGTTATTCCTTTATCTGGTTGATTGCATTTCACGAGTATGGTCTGCGTGCCTGGATCCCTGGATTTGTTAATGACGCAAACTACACACGGCCAACGTGCCCTTCATTTCTCACTGAATAATGTGCAACTGAGAAAATTTTTAGGCTGGTCGGGCATTTTGGCCCAGCGTGGTGCAATTTCGGCAAATTTCATGGTTTTGGCACAGCTCAACCCATGAATGGGGAATTGTATCAAACTGAGCCAATTAGTGTTGCTGTTGCACCCTTGGAGACTGCTTTGATGTCTATATCTACACCTTCAGAAAAAGAGAAGTCACAGCATTAGAGAAAGTACAGACAAAAAAATAATAATCGATAGAAAACTGCCTGTTGTGACAATGCAATTATTAGGCGCAGCTCACCATTGATCCAATGTACTGTTCGCCCATGACCAACTCGGGTGCCGCATACGCGGGGCTGCCACAGCAGGTCGCCAGGGCATTGTTCATGCCTCCCTGTAACAATGAAAAATGTGTTAAATTAAGTAGGCTCACCAAAATGCAGGAGCAGCTAAAATCAACCAATGCACATGTATTAATGCACATGAATGCATGCTACAGTGTCTTTTCCCATATGTAGTCTGCTCAGACCTGGGGTGTGCTCACACATTACATTGAAAGCTGTTATGAGATCACAACGAGGGTCGCGTGCGCCATAGTTGTCCGTCGCCGCCGGTGTCCGTAACCACCGTCGCGCCAAATAAGAAAACTAATAAAAACACCAAGGACACAATGGGATTCGAACCAGAGTCCCCTGCGTGCCAGCCAGCCCAGTGTTCTACTACTGAACCACACCAGAGCTTGAAAGCCTGTTGAAAACTGGATTTATGCAAGCTTGATGTCTGGAAAGCAATCGCGTTGGTATGAATAATGAAGCGTTTTAGAACAACAAAGGAACAGCCAGGCGTCACACACTGTGAATATCAGAACGAGTCGTTCTTTCAATGCTCCAACCATTTACAAAAGCTTCAGGCATAATTCTTCATCGACGTCAGCCACAGCATTAAAAAAATTGCACGAAATTGCTTGCCAGTGTGTAGCAGTTCCCATGCTTCTCCAAAGAATGACAAAATATGGCACAGTGAATGCCTCCCCACTACACAAATATTATGATGATTAATGATGTAGTGGTTATACTGCAAGTGCACTTGAAGAAGTTACCCAAAGAGTGTTGAAAACAGGCTCTCAAAGGCCATTCTTCCAACTTTCGCTGTGACTGTGCTGCACATTATGCACAGCACTGGCAGGTTTTTTAAATTTCCATTGAAAAAGAGCCCTTTTTTGTTATTCATAATAAATTAGAAAATCCACCATTTGAAACTATAGAATACCCATTCCTGTTTAAGAATAAATCAAACACACCACAATTTCACACAACGTAGACAAGAGGGGTCTAATTCCAGCAGTTATTCCTAGGGAGAGCCAAGATTATTGTCCAGAAACACCAATTCCCAAGAGAACCAATGGTGCAGACGACACTCTATAAATGTTATTTCCAATCACTGAATGAGAATCCTGGATTTTTTGGTAACTCGCATACGAACCCATTGCCTTAAATCTGAGCAAAAGAAAAAAAGCTCACGAGTATCACAATACTTGTAATGTATTTTGAGCAAAATTTATTTCAGTACGGTATCATGTTTCTTTCCTTCAGTAGTCGAGGCTCCCAAGAATACGCAAGCCAAAAATTTTAGCGCAGCATATGGCCTGGAATTCACAATTACAAAGTCAGCTGAAAGTGACTTTCTTTTCTCTCGACAAACAATGCTATATAGTTGAAAATCACTGCGCCACAGGCCCAAGTATCAGATCATTGGCCTATTTGAGCACGGTGTGTTTGGGAGTTACTGGGGCCACCACGGGAGGCTGCGATGTGTCGGCACAATCACACTGAAAAGCCGAGTGTTCAAAGAAAAAGAAAAGAGACAAAACGAGCTCAAAGTCACAAGGCGCACATGAAGTTATCCCTCCCTCCTTAGCTTTTGGAGCATTCACCGGGACGAGAGAGGAGAGAAAGCAATTTCAGCGTGCAACAAATCTTTGTAACTACACTTGTAACAAAATGGATTCAGTCAATTCTGGAGGCACCAAGCTCTTATCGATTTCATTGCTACTTGAAAAAGTGTAGCAGGGCCTCTTTAATTACCTTCGGTTACCCTGCCTATACGCTACATGTGTATTTCTTCTCAACTTCGACTAAGATATCCTTCATATTAGATTGTTCGCACACCAACTCTCTACTCCCTCATCTTGTCCCTTATGGTTACACCTATCACTTTCCTTTTCATTGCTCACTGCGTCACACTCACTTTAAGTGAAACCCCCTTTGTAAACCTCCAGGTTTCTTCTTTGTAGGCAAGTATCGGCAAGATGTGGCTGTTATTTACTTTCTTCTTAAAGGTAGTGGTGAACTACCATTAATTATTTGAGAATACTTGCTGAATGTGCTCTGTCCCATTCTTATTCTTCCAGCCTCGTGGTTCAGCTCCGCCTTCACTACGAGCCCTAAGTAGGCATACTCTGTACATCTCCAGCTGCCTTGCTACCTATTGCAAAGCTCTGTTCTTTTTTGAACCACTTACACATTACTGTACTTTTCTACATATTAATTTTCATGCCAAGCAGGATTTCGTCAAGCTACTCGACAATTCACAACTCCAGAAAACACTCCATGTGCTGGCAACACTGGTTGAAAAAACAAAGATGGCTGCGCTGAACAGGTCAACACGGCACTTTCACTTGGCACTGTGCTCAAGTTTCTTGATTGTGGCATTGGATCACGTTGCTTCGTTGAAGGTGAAAGGTAGCTGGCAGCGGGCTGCTGCATTCTCATCAGTACAAAGGGTTTTACACGCACGCCTAACAGCGGAAATCGTGGCGCTCTGCATGCAAACATCGAGCCTCTTTGGCGAACCGCATCAGATTTACTTCAAGTTGAAGAAACTGTCAAGCGAGCCCAAAATTCAAGAAGGCGACTGCTCATGCGTATCAGGCCTCCCCGAAAGATGCTAGCACTTTTGTGCTGCGTTGCTGCGCACTTTTACGCTGCCACTCATGCTACCAATTGCATATGTCCCATCAAATTCAATTGTTCCTCAAAAATTAAATACGCATGCTGTTCACTTTATTATAAAACAGAGGTATGCTTGGGCCAATGTATCTATCTAGGCAAATTGTAGTTTCGAATGTAATAGGAGTGCTCCTTTCTTTTCGTTCACAATCATGTTACAAAGTTTCTAATGAATAAGCTCGTGTGCTTCCGAACACTCGCTTGTTCGTGTTGGATGTAGTTGATATTCAAAGTAGATATATGCACATGGCTGGGGGGACAGCTGCCGTGGTAGCTCAGTTGGGAGAGCATCGAACACGTTAATCGAAGGTCGCAGGTTCAGTTCCTGCCCACGGCAACTTATCTTTTTACCCTCTTTTCTTTCTTCACATTTACACTACAATTCAGTCTAATAACTTCCCCTATACTTTCTTTGGCATTACTGTCTGTTAAATCTCATTATATATATATATATATATATATATATATATATATATATATATAGCTTTCATGGATTACTGGGAGGCTTTTGATTCAGTGGAGATATCAGCAGCAATGCAGGCACTTTGAAATCAGGGCATCACCAAAACTCACACAAAAGCAACATACAGCAAAAACAAACCACACATGAAAACAGCAATGTGTGGCAACTGAAGCTAGCTTTAAAAAGATCAAAGGAAAGCCAATATGGCTATAACAAGCGACCCTAAGAATAAAAACCCACCATTTACAGCTGCTATTCAAAACCAGGCCATTGGGGTGCAAAGGGGGCATTCTACCTTTGCAACATTTTGGTAGAATCGTGTGCAACTCTTAAACAACACATTAAAAGCTACCACCGATCGCAGCTCCTCCGTGGCTTGACTCTGCTTGGGCTTCACTTTCTGCACATTGGTGCTGCGGCCGTTCTGAGCACTCCTTTGTTTTATTACACTCTAGTTATGTTGAATGCCTGTCACACTGCTTTTATACAAAAAGCTGCAAAAATGACATTTTGGCACATGCTCGGTACAAATTATCAAATTTTTTCACCAAATGCAGCTGGTTGTCGCAGGTTGCAATAATCCCTAATTGGTTAGCAGGTTGCAATAATCCCTAATGCAGCTGGTTGTAGCAGGTCCTGCAATAATCCCTAATTGGGATTAGCAGTATATGTAAATAAATAAATAAAATAAATAAATAACCTCTTGGCGCAGTTTGGCACAATAGGCACAGCAATCACATCACTGAATATTATATAAATGTGGACTGTTCCACACAGTGGACTGCAGCATCAGCTTTCATTCCCAATCCACTTCATGACAGATAGTAGAATTCAATGATTTCTTATACCCTAAGCTGACTGCAAGAGCACAGACCTTTCCCTCTACATGATTGCATTATTGCTTGTTCTGTTTTTCCAGTGAAGATAACTCCCAGCCATAATATGGCATTGGCCAAGTTAAAAATTGACTTCCACTACATTTGAAGTGCGAACATGGATACCAAGAATTGTGTGACAATACTAAATGCACACACAAGTTAAAGAGGCCCTGCAACCCTTTTTCAACATGGCCAGAAAATGTTGTAAACAAGTAGTCAAGGCTCCAGTGAACATATAAGCCAAATAACTTAGCGCTGTGTGAGGCAGCAAATTTGCAATTACATCTCAAAGACAGCTAGAACTTTATGGGATGAAAAAAGAAAGAAAGCACTTAACCCTTTGAGGATCAATGACATACATGTATGCCCCGCCCATGAACACATGTGCAGCATTATGAAGTGTTTCAAAGCAGGCAACACAGCAGTCATAATTTCCCAATGCCACACAGTGCTTGCAAACATGCTTGTCATTGTAAGAGGAAAGAGTTTGAAAGCAGTACCCTCAAAATGACTTAGTGAGCCAATATCAGTGCTTGCAGCTAAGTTCTTCAATGACTAACCATTGTGGGCATCACACTATTATTTAGAACATAAGATTGAAATTAGAACAATGAAAGTACAAAAAAAACTGTGAATCCTGCGTGCAAAAAAAGTGCCATGAAGAACACTGAACTCGGCTGTGAAAAAAATGTCATGTACCTTTGGCTTAGCACAGAGTCCGAAATCTATGAGCTTCACATTCCGGTTTTCATCCAGGAGTAGGTTCTCCTATATGCAAAAGAAGGACACAAACACATGTGATGTACATTCACAAGTTTGTTGCAACCATACAAAAAGACAATAACCCAGATAATGCATAGAGGAAGCTAATTACATCTAATTGAAGTATAAAAGCATTCACCCCATGTACTACAGTCAAATGGACTTAAAATGCTCTCTTGTATGGAAGCTCTATCAAAACCAGCAGTAATGTCTAACCACCTCAAGTGCTCGGCAAGGAAAGTTATTGGATGACAAAAGCACTAGGTAAAAAAAATCGTTACAATTATTTTTTGTCTGACGACCAGCTGTTGACCCTGAATCGCGACATGAAACATGAATTTATGCAGAGTACAAAAATTATAACATCCATTACTTGTCCTAATACTGCAAAAAATGTGACACTAAAAAAATGCATCACAGAAATCAGAAAAGCAAGTTTTTATGAAGTTTTCTTTGTGAAGCTTTCTTTGCGAAACTTCTCTTGCAAAAAACTCTTATTCATTTTTTCATAATCATTTTCTTTGTAAATTCAAACTACGATTGGATACATGAGGGATTCTCTGCAAGTAGCATGGTAGTAAACAGGGTTACATCTTGACGTCTCCGCCAAAGAGAAAGTGCCTAGTGAATGGCTGGGTTAACCACTTTCAAAATTAGTATCACTTGTACCTTAAGTAAAAAATATTTGTAAGGAGCATAAGAATATTTCCTATCATGATGATACTAAGATGATGCCATCGAGGGCTTCCGATTTCGAAGCAATTTCTGAATAAAAAAATATTAATTTTAGGGCACATTAGAGCAGCCAAATTTCCACACTAGATAATGCTAGAATAGATAGTTTCAGATTCTGGAGTACGTTGGAGAAGCAAGTTGCACTTACATTAAGACAACTGAATAATTATTACTAACTCCAATCAGGAGACTCACAAATATTTCTGTCAATTTGAAACCTCGTGGAAGAAATGCTCTCCTAAGCACTCATTATTTCGCTTGGTTATGCAAACATAAGGATATCATGCAATTGAGTGTAGCAGAGTAACCTCTTCAGCTTTTTTTTTTTTCAACAGAAGCAAATAAACAGAACGCTGGATCAATAAATTTGTGCATCATAAAATAGTACCAGTGCCACACAGGCAAAAATATGGCATTAACTTTCTAATGCCTAAAGATTTCTTGCCATTTGCATGGTGCTACACAGGAAAATTTAATGGCATTTGCCTTAATACCATTCATCACCTAATACCTTCGCTAGATCTCATTCTGCTGAGAAATGTGTACTCTTAATGTTAAAGCTTGCTCAATGCACTGCACATGAGAGATTTAAAAATAATGTCTATTGTATCAAATATATTTCATATATTACTTTTAACCAATAACACGTTATTACCCTGTTGCACCATACAGAAATTCACTGTATGACAGGTGCCACGTCGTATTGTTGGCTTCGGATTCCACATGCAATGGCCGAAGTTACTGTTGGAGGTTGAAATGTTGTAAAAGACTAGAACGAACTCAAGCTATGGCAATATTATGGCTTACTGTTACAGTTCACCATTTGTGCAAGCAGGTTAGCGTTGTTAAAGTGCATGTTTATATTTTAAGATTACCTCAAAACTGCGCAATTCAAAAGTCACCGTTACCGACATCGTCAGGTGAAATTCCATTAAATTTAGACGTGCAGCATCCTGGCTGAAAAAAAAAATGTCAGTCAAGCACTTAATGCCTTACCTACTGAATGTCATTTCTACTGCCTGTGTGGCATGGGTATAACACTCTAAGTACTACTATACCGTTATCAAAGGGCAAGGCTCATACCACAGGTATATATCTTGGTGTTAATAAAATGTTGCACTAAAACCAGCAGAAGTGGCACACAAACTGCGACATACAACAGTGCCTCAATGCAGCAGGGGCACCGGAAGGTTTACGTCTTAGGAGGAAGGGGGTAAGTTCACCCTTTGCTCATGCCCATGCCTGAATGCTAAAAAGGCACAAGGTCCCTTCTCATGCTTTCCTCAAAAGCAAAAGGCAGCCTCTTTTTCTTAGATGAGTATACTAAATCTTTGAAGTTTATTGTTAGCAAAGTAGCAATACTGTAAGGCTTAGATTACTGAATCTTGCACCAATTACATGCGGTATGGTGCTTGAAACGAGTTATCAGTAGCATTTTTCAATTAGTCAATGACAGCCAAAGGATTGCTAACACACTTGATTGCCACCAATTGATTTAAAAGTCACGAGTCTTTATTGTGAGTGTACCTTGCCGTCGAGCCCACTTGCCAGGCCTGTAGCCAGAGGGGCGTGCCCCAGGGGTCTGTGTCCCCACTTGCTATTTTGATGAACTTTTTAACAAATGCCCCCCCCCCCCCCTGTAAAAAAAATTCCTGGCTACAGACCTGCCACTGGCACGGCTTAATTGGGACACACATGCGAGCACTTCTTCATCTGTGGAAGAATCCTTCTTCCCTAGTCACACCGAAATTCAGCAGCGCGTACTTTGAATCACCAGTGATACATCGTAGACACAGTTAAGTCCAAGCCAATGGTGCAGTTCGATGCAATCTATGTTGATTTTATCACGATGGCATATTTATGGCTTAGTTTATCATGATGGCATAGGGCAGGAGTGGAATCACTGCTATCAGAGCCAGAACTTTCACAACATGAAAGCACTCAAGGGGAGATGCTCCTCGGAAAACTTTTTCTTCAAATATTTGTGACAGCTCAATGGAATTTTCACCATTTATAGAGTTTGAGATCCCTTTTCCAAATCTACTTTTTTTTTCAATAGCTCAAATGGTTAATTTTTTGCATACCATGCATTGGTAAAAACAATGCATTTTTGTGCGAGGTTAGGCAACAATAGTAAGCACAAAAAAGCTCTAAAATCAGTAAATGTTGTACTAAATCAGTAAATGTACTAAATTAGTAAATGTTCCTCCTAATGAATTGGTGAATTAATAAAGCAAAAAAAAATTGTGTAACATATGCATGCTGGCCTAGAAAAAAAAAAAATGCCAATGCTGAGTTTCAGTTTTACCATACTCAGGGAACGAGCTTTTGAAATTATCTAGCTGAATATGCTTTGGAAACCTCTGAAAGTTATTTGAATTCAGGACATGTTAAACTATAAGCATGCCAAGTTTCATTGCAATTCGACTACATAAAGCTCACAAAGTTTAGTGCACACACTGTAAAAATGCCGAAAAACAAGCGACTGAGAAAAACAAGTCTGAAAGTTGAAAAACACATTTAATACTATACTCTTAAACCAATCTGCACAAAATTCACAGAGAATGTCGTCAAGGCTCTTTGGAAAGAGTTCACAGTTTCAGATAGATCCAATACCATACGTTGAACCCTCACAGTCCCTACAAGCTACCTCCTCCAGGCGGGCTCTTTTTGCGGCACTGTGGCGATTGGCCCTTGCTTTGGCTGTGACGTTTTCTGCCATACTAGAAATGCACCTCTTGTTGGCAACCTTGCTTAGAGAAAGCAATACCTTAGACGAGAAAACTCCAAGTTCCTGAAGCACCTCCTCAAACCCAGAGTGTCCTCAGTTGAGCCAAAAGACAGCAATTTCCATCACTGTTTCAACCAAGGTTCTTGTCGCAAACTTTGTCTTTGGGCACAAGAGCCATATTTTGCTGTTGAGCAATTCAGCTGTGTTCTGTGTCTGTCTTGTCACGCAGCGCTAAAGCAGCTTCTCTTCTGTCAGCTTTTTGTGGACTGGCAGCATTGCCTTGCCTTGGGAAGGAGTCAGGATGTGAGTGTGGGGTGGTGCTGGCTCACCCAGTGTCACAAAATGAGCGCTCAAAAAAGGGCGTGCCGCCAAGTTCTCGTGACGAAACGCCGGAGTGACACCACGAGGTCAACGATAGAAAAAAGAAAACAAGCATCCAAAGACTCCCCGGGCACGCGTCCCTCTCCCCTCGGAAGCGTAGGTTCGCCGACAAACCTCCTCACCCCACATCGGCGGCCGAGCAAGCCCTCGAAATTTCTCAATGGAGAGGGGCGTGGTGATGCCGGGTTGAGTCATCCGTCACGGATGATGATGATGATGAAAAACATTTATTATAAAAGAGAGAGGTACGACGCCAAAGCATGACCCCGCTACATGGTCGGCGTCCTTAGTCCGGGACACCGCATGACGAGGCCCCTACTCGCGCCCGTCTCACCAGAGCCCGTTGAGACTAGTGATGAGCAGTTGAGGAGGGCAGTCTCCCATGCCTCTCAGGAAGGGGTAGGGGAAGGGGGTAGGTGGGGATTTTTCGGACATGCCCATACCATGTGGAAGATATCACACGTCTCCCCACAGTGTGGGCACCGCCCATCTGTGTTCGCATCGAAATGTTTTAGGATTGCAGGACAGAGTAGAGTACCTGTCTGCAGGCGCCTTAAGAGTTCGCTCTTCCGCCTTACTCAGCCCCTTTGCAGGAGCCGGGTAAAGGCGGTGAGTGTCGCGATAATAGGTCAAAATTTCTTTGAACCGCAGCAGCGGTGTATTGGCCTCCGAGTCATAGGAGCCAAGGTGAGGAGCCCGGTGGGTAAGCGCTCGGGCGGCCGCGTCAGCGGCCTCATTACCTCGTAAGCCCTGATGGCCAGGAGCCCATACGATGCGTTTCGGGGCTGGATTAGCGAGAGCCCGTTTTAGAATTTGGCTGGCTAGGGGGGATATCTCTCCTACCAAGTAATGAGCACATGCTTTCCGGGAGTCCGTGATGATAACTTTCGAGTTGGGGTCCGCAGCAGCAAGCGCTATCGCGACTTCCTCAGCGCGCTCTGGATTTTGTACTCGGAACGAGAGCCCATTGACATGCTTTTCCCGGTGAACTACACAGGCCGTGTAAAATCTCTCAAGCGTCCAAGCCCGCGCCTGTCTTCTGCTTTCGTGTCGCGGACGGCCCCCGTATCGTCTCGCCCTTTTCCCCAGCCTTCGCTGCGCATCGCGCCGACGAAATGATGAGAACTTTCTGGAAACTCGTGCGGAAGGTATTTAATCG